GGGCAAATAACCGACCGGGAGAGTCCAATTTTGAAAACCAACCGGGGAAACTCATTCCTTTCATCAAATACAAAAAAACATGTCCAGTAGTGAAATCGATTCCCTTTAAAACCAATAGGGGAACATTAAAAAGAATAGTTTCTTTCATCAAATACAAAAAATATGTCCAGTAGTGAAATCGATTGCTTTTAAAACCAACAGGGGAAAATAACCGACCGGGAGAGTCCAATTTTGAAAACCAACCGGGAAAACTCATTCCTTTCATCAAATACAAAAAAATATGTCCAGTAGTGAAATCGATTCCCTTTAAAACCAACAGGGGAAAAAAAAAGTTCCTTTCATCAAATACAAAAAAATATGTCCAGTAGTGAAATCGATTCCCATTAAAACCAACAGGGGAAATAGTCGACCGGGAGAGTCCAATTTTGAAAACCAACCGGGGAAACTCATTGCTTTCATCAACTACAAAAAAATATGTCCAGTAGTGAAATCGATTCCCTTTAAAACCAACAGGGAAAAACAAGTTCCTTTCATCAAATACATTTAAAAAAAAATGTCCAGTAGTGAAATCGATTCCATTCAAAACCAACAGGGGAAAATAACCGACCGGTCCAATTTTGAAAACCAACCGGGGAAACTCATTCCTTTCATCAAATGCAAAAAAATATATCCAGTAGTGAAATCGATTCCCTTTAAAACCAACAGGGGAAAAAAGTTCCTTTCATCAAATACAAAAAAATATGTCCAGTAGTGAAATCGATTCCCATTAAAACCAACAGGGGAAATAGTTGACCGGGAGAGTCCAATTTTGAAAACCAACCGGGGAAACGCATTCCTTTCATCAACTACACAAAAATATGTCCAGTAGTGAAATCGACTCCCATTAAAACCAACAGGGGAACATGAAAAAAAATGTCATTTCATTAAATACAAACAAAATGTCCAGTAGTGAAATCGATTGCCTTTAAAACCAACAGGGGAAAATAGCCGACCGGGAGAGTCCAATTTTGAAAACCAACCGGGGAAACTCATTCCTTTCATCAAATACAAAAAAAATATGTCCAGTAGTGAAATCGATTCCCTTTAAAACCAACAGGGGAACAAACACAAAAAACGGTCATTTCATCAAATACAAAAAACAATGTCCAGTAGTGAAATCGACTCCCTTTAAAACCAACAGGGGAACATGAAAAAAAGTTCCTTTCATTAAATACAAAAGAACATGTCAAGTCGTAAAATCGATTCCCCTTAAAACCAACAGGGGAACATAAAAAAAGGTTAATTTCATCAATTACAAAAAAATATGTCCAGTAGTGAAATCGATTCCCTTTAAAACCATCAGGGGAACATTACAAAAAAAAAAAAAAAAAAAAAAAAAAAAAAACGCGAAAAAAATCCTTTCATCAAATACAAAAAATATATGTCCAGTAGTGAAATCGATTCCCTTTAAATCCAACAGGAGAAAATAACCGACCGGGAGAGTCCAATTTTGAAAACCAACCGGGGAAACTCATTCCTTTCATCAAATACAACAAAATATGTCCAGTAGTGAAATCGATTCCCTTTAAAACCAACAGGGGAACAAACACAAACAACGGTCCTTTCATCAAATACAAAAAAAGTATGTCCAGTAGTGAAATCGATTGCCTTTAAAACCAAACAGGGGAAATAGTCGACCGGGAGAGTCCAATTTTGAAAACCAACCGGGAAAACTCATTGCTTTCATCAAATACAAAAAAAAATGTCCAGTAGTGAAATCGACTCCCTTTAAAACCAACAGGGGAACATAAAAAGAAGAAGTTCCTTTCATTAATTACAAAAATCTATGTCCAGTAGTGAAATCGACTCCCTTTAAAACCAACAGGGGAACAAAAAAGAAGTTCCTTTCATCAAATACAAAAAAATATGTCCAGTAGAGAAATCGATTCCCTTTAAATCCAACAGGAGAAAATAACCGACCGGGAGAGTCCAATTTTGAAAACCAACCGGGGAAACTCATTCCTTTCATCAAATACAAAAAAATATGTCCAGTAGAGAAATCGATTCCCTTTAAATCCAACAGGAGAAAATAACCGACCGGGAGAGTCCAATTTTGAAAACCAACCGGGGAAACTCATTCCTTTCATCAAATACAACAAAATATGTCCAGTAGTGAAATCGATTCCCTTTAAAACCAACAGGGGAACAAACACAAACAACGGTCCTTTCATCAAATACAAAAACAGTATGTCCAGTAGTGAAATCGATTGCCTTTAAAACCAACAGGGGAAATAGTCGACCGGGAGAGTCCAATTTTGAAAACCAACCGGGAAAACTCATTGCTTTCATCAAATACAAAAAAATATGTCCAGTAGTGAAATCGACTCCCTTTAAAACCAACAGGGGAACATAAAAAAAGAAGTTCCTTTCATTAATTACAAAAATCTATGTCCAGTAGTGAAATCGACTCCCTTTAAAACCAACAGGGGAACATAAAAAAAAGAAGTTCCTTTCATTAATTACAAAAATCTATGTCCAGTAGTGAAATCGACTCCCTTTAAAACCAACAGGGGAACAAAAAAGAAGTTCCTTTCATCACATACAAAAAACAATGTCCAGTAGTGAAATCGACTCCCTTTAAAACCAACAGGGGAACATGAAAAAAAGTTCCTTTCATTAAATACAAAAGAACATGTCAAGTCGTAAAATCGATTCCCCTTAAAACCAACAGGGGAACATAAAAAAAGGTTAATTTCATCAATTACAAAAAAATATGTCCAGTAGTGAAATCGACTCCCTTTAAAACCAACAGGGGAACATAAAAAGAAGAAGTTCCTTTCATTAATTACAAAAATCTATGTCCAGTAGTGAAATCGACTCCCTTTAAAACCAACAGGGGAACATGAAAAAAAGTTCCTTTCATCACATACAAAAAACAATGTCCAGTAGTGAAATCGATTCCCTTTAAATCCAACAGGAGAAAATAACCGACCGGGAGAGTCCAATTTTGAAAACCAACCGGGGAAACTCATTCCTTTCATCAAATACAAAAAAATATGTCCAGTAGAGAAATCGATTCCCTTTAAAACCAACAGCGGAACAAACACAAACAACGGTCCTTTCATCAAATACAAAAAAAATATGTCCAGTAGTGAAATCGATTGCCTTTAAAACCAAGAGGGGAAATAGTCGACCGGGAGAGTCCAATTTTGAAAACCAACCGGGAAAACTCATTGCTTTCATCAAATACAAAAAAATATGTCCAGTAGTGAAATCGATTCCCTTTAAAACCAACAGGGGAAAAAAACAAGTTCCTTTCATCAAATACATAAAAAATGTCCAGTAGTGAAATCGATTCCCTTCAAAACCAACAGGGGAAATAGTCGACCGGTCCAATATTGAAAACCAACCCGGGAAACTCATTCCTTTCATCAACTACAAACAAATATGTCCAGTAGCGAAATCGACTCCCTTTAAAACCAACAGGGGAACATGAAAAAAAAGTTCCTTTCATTAAATACAAAAGAACATGTCAAGTCGTAAAATCGATTCCCCTTAAAACCAACAGGGGAACATAAAAAAAGGTTCATTTCATCAATTACAAAAACATATGTCCAGTAGTGAAATCGACTCCCTTTAAAACCAACAGGGGAACATTAAAAGAAGAAGTTCCTTTCATTAATTACAAAAATCTATGTCCAGTAGTGAAATCGACTCCCTTTAAAACCAACAGGGGAACAAAAAAGAAGTTCCTTTCATCACATACAAAAAAACAATGTCCAGTAGTGAAATCGATTCCCTTTAAAACCAACAGGGGAACATTTAAAAAAAAAAACGAATCCTTTCATCAATTCCAAAAAAATATGTCCAGTAGTGAAGTCGACTCCCTTGAAAACCAACAGGGGAACATAAACAACAAGTTCCTTTCATGAAATACAAAAAACAATATGTCCAGTAGTGAAATCGACTCCCTTTAAAACCAACAGGGGAACATAAACAACAAGTTCCTTTCATCAATTACAAAAATATATGTCCTGTAGTGAAATCGACTCCCTTTAAAACCAACAGGGGAACATAAACAACAAGTTCTTTTCATCAATTACAAACAATTATGTCCAGTAGTGAAATCGACTCCCTTTAAAACCAACAGGGGAACATTAAAAAAGAGTTCCTTTCATCAATTACAAACAAATATGTCCAGTAGTGAAATCGATTCCCTTTAAAACCAACAGGGGAACATAAAAAGAAGAAGTTCCTTTCATTAATTACAGAAATATATGTCCAGTAGTGAAATCGACTCCCTTTAAAACCAACAGGGGAACATAAACAACAAGTTCCTTTCATCACATACAAAAAACAATATGTCCCGTAGTGAAATCGATTTCCTTTAAAACCAACAGGAGAACAATTAAAAAAATATAACTTGAGGAGCGGGTGAACGAAAGCTAGCAGTTGTTGCATATGAGATGGGTCGGTGACAGAGTGGATTCAGAGGTAGCTTGTGTACAGCGAGAGGCCCGGCAAGATTCGTAGGATGCGACACGCAAACGCACATGGTAGCGTGGCAAACCTTGAAAAATGAAAACAACGAGAGGCGTCAGAGGCTGTCTTAAAGCACCTCTGGGTTCTGCATGCTTGCGTGTGCAAAGATTCTTGCGAGGTGGTTTACTGAGAAGACTGAGGTCTCAAATGAACAAGCTGAATCGGCGGAACATGTAAAAGTGCATAACACCAAGTCCAAAACGGGCAAACCGAGACTGCTGAAACACTGAGCCACTGCCCGGGGGGAGGGGTGGACCAAGGAGGAATCGAGCCTGAGACCGGGGGGGGGGGGAGGGGGGGGGGGTCTAAATAATTGATTTGTTTCAATCTTTTCGGCTCAAATAATTGAAAAAATCAATCTTTCGGCAATTGAGCCCCTTACCTTGCTTACGCAAGGAGAAACTTCAGCTAGCTAAAGCTAGCTTTCGTGAAAAATCAAATGGACGTCTGCTGATCGAAGCTTCGGCTTTCGATCCGGCCTTGGCCGTGCACCCGGCACGCTGCAGCGACGTGCACACGTCCAGGAAGAGGGGCTCCCCGTGGGCGGCCGGGTCCTGCGAAACAGGAGCCTTGCAACCACCTTAGCTTGGGGGTGCATTTCTGGGTGTAGTGGGGAATCATCACTTCTGGAGGGGACCACCACCCTATATCTATAAACCGGGGTTGATTAACATGGGGTCAGCTTTACGTGGTTGACGTTGGAAGGGGAGCAACAAGTGATAATTTTTAGCAGCTAAGTGTGGATTTCAACCACTAAACCACAACATTGGGTGGGACAAGTCAATTACTTGTATTGCCCTTCCTTTCTTTCCTCTTTCTTTCCTCCTCTGCTTTCCTCTTCTTCCTTCCTCTTCTTTCCTTCCTCTTCTTTCCTTCCTCTTCTTTCTTTCCTCTTCTTTCCTTCCTCTTCTTTCCTCCCAACGACAGCCACCTTAGGATAAACCTAATCGCTTCCCCCCAGAAGTTTTCTACCCCTTCCTCTTTCCCCTCCCCCCCCCCCAATTAAAATTTTGTGCCTGGGGCCCAAAGAAAGATTTAAGCACTCCTACAAATTAATATGAACCATCCTTTTTAGAGGAACCTCCTCTTGGGGGACTTTTTTTGGGGAGTAAGCCATGTGACTTCATTTGCAGGAGAGACTTGAAGGGGATCTGGTTTAAGCAACATTCTTGAAGCTGTTTCATTTCCCGTGCTCACAGGCAGTTGCCATGAGCACGGCACGGGGTTCGGATGTATGGAGGCTTTTAGAGAGCCCGGGGAATCCCCGCACGCGAAACGGGGAAACGGAGCGATGCCCTTGGGTGTGCGATGTTAAAACATATGTTTTTGTTTGGTGATTTTGTTTTTGTGAGAGGAAAAAAAAGAAAAACACTTTCTGGGTGGAGAGGGGCAGAAAAAAGACGCAAACACGCATATGATATTCAAAGAACCTCATGTTGGCTCACCTTAGCGGGCCAGGGTCTGGATTTTAGACAATCTTGCCAACCCCTGCAGCAAACCCTCTGAGAACCGTCAATCTCTTTCGCCGTGCCCTGAAACTCTTCCAGTGTTGAGCATGAAACGGGGTGCAGCGCAACTCGAGCACACAACATCCACGAAAGGCATGGGAGCATGCCCGAACCCCCCCCCCCCCCCAAATGTCGCACCGTTCCTTTTTGATCCAAACGTCGCCTGGGGTGAGGAAATCCTCCCTCATACTTTTGTCTTGCTGTGGGAATGAGTGTGTGTGTGTGTGAACTCCGTTCTCTTTGCACAAGCGAGGGATTCTCATCACCTCGGGACTGTGCCTGACATACATTCTCTATCCAAGCCTGTCTGTTCTTTTGGGATTGTAACTGGAGCGAGGATTGTTCTTGAGTGAGGCTTCGTTGAGACCGGGCAAACTCGCCCATGTGGAAACCTCCCTCCTGCCAGTCTTCTTGGCAAACCCTTGTATCGCCTAAAAACCTCAATGTGGGCGAAGGTGGGGTGCTGAGGGAACATGCTTCAACAGGGGTTGACCCGCCTTCTCAAACCACCCCTGCCATGTCAAAAGATCCCCCCCAACCCCGGCAAACAAATCTGCTAAGCTCCTCCTTCCCCTTTATGTTCCCACTCAAAACATCACCCCTGGGGCAGAAAAAAACTGTGTTTGAAGCCACCAAACTGGGAATTATAGATGCCTAATCAACCCCACCCACCCAACCCAGCCCCCACCCCACCCAACCCCCCAAACCCCCAAACCCCCCCACCCCACCCAACCAACCCACCCCCCACCCCACCCAACCCCCAACCCCCCATCCCCTCCTTCATCTTGTTGCACACCGCGATGGCCCGCAACGAGCCCAGGCTCGGCAGCGCCGCCAGGAAGTGCTTCTCGCTCCAGGGGCGGTACAAATGGACGTTCAGCACCCCGCAATCCTTCGCCTTCGAGCCCATCTTCATGAGGTACCTCGATGCAAACCCGTTGGGTAGAAGTTCTAGCTACATAATTGGGTCCACAAATGTGTGTGTGTGTATATATATAGTTATTTATTTATGTTATGATATATATATATATTCTGTGTGTGTGTGTGCAAGTGTATAGATATACCTTGACAATAGTTGTCCCGCGTAAAGTTGTGAAGCTGTGTAAGGTGTGGGGTGTGGGGGGGTGGGGTGGGGTGTCCAGCAGGCTGTGGACAACTCCCACCTGGCATCCGATCGACGGCCTGCCTTGGTGGACGGCAGCCCCTTCTGGCTCCCCCCCCCCCCCCAGGAGAAAAAAAAAAAAAACGACCCACGTTCCGAGTGTAGATAGATCAAAAACGCGCAAGCTGCAAATGAGCAGAGTCGGCGCTCTTCTGAGCAAGAAGGGAGAAATGCCACAGCCTTGCGGCACATGTTATGAAATTTCAGTCCGAACCACGTGTTACAGGGAAAGTAGAGCGAGTATATTTGAGGGAGGATGCAAGCAAGGCTGGGCAGGGAGGAGTATTTCGGTGACGTCTTCTTTCAATGACGAATCCTGTCGTGAACGCGATCTATTCTGCTCAGTGAAGCTACTTTTTGGTATTGCCTTCCGGTGACAGGATGCTTTGGGTATCTGTCATTCATTGACGGGGTTAAAAAGTTGGTGATGTGGTTTCGATCCCGCAAGTGTTTGATATCATGAAGCTTGGGGTCCCTCCCCCCTCCCTCCCCTCCTCTCCCCTCCCTCCCTCCCTCCCTCCCTCCCTCCCTCCCTCCCTCCTCCCTCCCTCCCTCCCTCCCTCCCTCCCTCCCTCCCTCCCTCCCTCCCCCCTCCCTCCCCCTCCCTCCCTCCCTCCCTCCCTCCCTCCTCCCTCCCTCCCTCCCCCCTCCCCCTCCCCCCTCCCCCTCCCTCCCCCCCCCCCTCCCTCCCTCCCTCCTCCCTCCCCTCCCTCCTCCCCTCCCCCTCCCTCCTCCCTCCCTCCCTCCCACCCTCCCTCCTCCCCTCCCTCCCTCACTCCCTCCCCCCTCCCTCCCTCCCTCCCTCCCCTCCTCCCCTCCCTCCCTCCCTCCCTCCTCCCTCCCTTCCCCCTCCCTTCCCCCTCCCCTCCTCCCCTCCCTCCCTCCCTCTCCCTCACTCCCTCCCTCCCTCCCACCCTCCCTCCCTCCCTCCTTCCCCTCCTCCCCCTCCCTCCTCCCCTCCCCCCCTCCCTCCCTCACTCCATCCCCTCCCCTCCCCTCCCTCCCTCCCTCACCCCCTCCCCTCCCTCCCTCCCTCCCTCCTTCCCCTCCCTTCCCCCTCCCTCCCCCCCTCCCTTCCCCCCTCCCCTCTCCCTTCCTCCCCCATCCATCCCCTCCTCTCCCCTCCCTCCCCCCTCCCCTCTCCCTCCCTCCCTCCCTTCCTCCCTCCCTCCCTCCCTCACTCCCTCCCCTCCCCTCCCTCCCTCCCTCCTCCCTCCTCCCTTCCCCCCTCCCTCCCTCCCCTCTCCCTCCCTCCTCCCCCTCCCTCCCCCTCCCCTCCCTCCCTCCCCTCCTCCCTCCCTCCCTCCATCCCTCCCATCCCTCCCTCCCTCTCCCCCTCCCTCCCTCCCTCCCTCACCCTCCCTCCCCTCCCTCCCCCCTCCCTCCCCTCCCTCCCTCCCCTCCCTCCCTCCCCTCCCCTCCCCTCCCCTCCCTCCCTCCCCCCTCCCTCCCCTCCCTCCTCCTCCCTCCCTCCCTCCCTCCCTCCCTCCCCCCTCCCTCTCCCCTCCTTCCCCTCCCTCCCTCCCTCCCCCTCCCCCCTCCCCTCTCCCTCCTCCCTCCTCCCTCCCTCCCTCCCTCCCTCCCTCCCTCCCTCCCCCTCTCCCTCCCTCCCTCCCTCCATCCCTCCCTCCCTCACTCCCTCCCCTCCCCTCCCTCCCTCCCTCCCTCCTTCCCCTCCCTTCCCCCTCCCTCCCCCCCTCCCTTCCCCCCTCCCCCTCTCCCTCCCTCCCCCTCCTCCCCTCCTCTCCCCTCCCCCCTCTCCCCTCCCCTCCCTCCCTCCCTCCCTCCCTCCTCCCTCCCCTCCCCTCCTCCCCTCCCCTCCCCTCCCCCTCCCTCCCTCCCTCCCTCCCTCCCTCCCTCCCTCCCCCCTCCCACTCCCTCCCCTCCCTCCTCCCTCCCTCCCCCCCCCTCCCTCCCTCCCTGGGAGGGGAGGGAGGGGGAGGGAGGAGGGAGGAGGGAGGGAGAGGGAGGAGGGGGAGGGAGGGGGAAGGGAGGGAGGAGGGAGGAGGGGAGGGAGAGAGAGGGGAGGGAGGAGGGGAGGGAGGGAGGGGAGGGAGGAGGGAGGGGGGAGGGAGGGGGAAGGGAGGGGAGGAGGAGGAGGGAGGGAGGGAAGAGAAGGAGGGGGGGAGGAGGAGGGGAGGGACCCCTCCTCCCTCCCTCCCTCCCTCCCTCCCCCCCCCCTCCTCCCTCCCCTCCCTCCTCCTCTCCCCCCCTCCCTCCCCCTCCCTCCCTCCCTTCCCCCTCCCTCCCCCCTCCCTCCTCCCTCCCTCCCTCCCTCCCTCCCTCCCTCCTCCCTCCCTCCCCTCTCCCTCCCCTCCCTCCTTCCCTCCTCACTCCCTCCCTCCCTCCCTCCCTCCCTCCCTCCCTCCCTCCCTCCCCTCCCTCCCTCCCTCCCTCCCTCCCCTGGAGAACTCCCCGATTTGTCGCCATGTAGAGCTAGAATTCAAAAGACGTGGCTGAGAGTGTCGAGCTGGGCATGTCTCAATTATTTTGCCTTCCGTAAACCATTCTGGCCGCATTGCTCTGCAAAGCTTACGAGAATTCCAAGCCCCAAATCGCCATTGGATCCCAAAGTAAACGACCCTCATGGCTTTCGCTCGCATTATAGCCCCCGATTCTCGCGTGGCACTGTTGGTTCCCGGACAGAAAGCCGCAACCAATTGCTGGTTGGTCTAGAAACCGGTTTGGAGGTGGCTGTTGTGGATCCACCCCTGTAGTACTAAAAAAATACTTGAAAAAGGACCAGCAGAGAGAAGAACATGTGAAATCCACCAAAAGCGCATCCGAACCGAATTGTAGAGTTGGTGGGAGAACACGTGTCACATGCTCCCAACACGAGTTATGAAGGTTGATGATCCAGCCCGATAAAAGGCGAAGCTTCCTGAAAGGCTAAAGGTTGACGATCCAACCAATCCAACCACATAGAAGCCAACACTAACCAAAAGTTGAAGGTTGCCGACATACTGACTTGTTTGTTTGAGGCCTCCTCCTTTTCCACCCCCCCCCCCCCCAACAAATCGCTGCGTCGAACAGGCACGCGCTACCGCAAAGCCGATAGGAAGCAAAGATCAAATCGGCGGAGGTTCGTTCCAATTTTTGACTTGCTGAAGGCAGACACAAAACGTAGGGGTGGTGGATTCCCCCCAATAAATTTGAAAACCCTTGGGTTTACGCCTACCCCAAGGAATCCCAAAAAAAACGGAACCCTGAGGTGGATCCCCGCCACGATTTGTTTCATCCGAGGTGCTCTTCCACCACGCCGGCGCCGGAGCCCATCAAGACCACCACGTACTTGGCGTTCTTGCTGCCCACGTACCTCGCGACGAAGCCCCTCCCTCTCCACCAACAGTTTCACGCTAGGATGCACTGACCTGTTGGTTCCTTTCCTTTTTCATGTCCTTCATAAATTCGCATCCGTCGTCCTCCCGGCTTGAGACAAAGCGAGGGGCCCCAGTGGCTGGGATGGAAAAGTGAAAAGTTGCTGGTTGGAAATTTCGCCCAAAAAAAAGCGCGGGTGGTTTGGAAAATGTGTGTGTGTGTGTGTCTTTTTGAGGCCCTCTGTAGGTTTGTGTTCAAAAGGAGGAAACACGGAAAGCCATTACCCTATGATTTGAGGTACATGATCAACCATGTTTAAGAAGTCATGAAGACTCTAGGCACGTGCTTGAGCATGCTTCAACTATGGTTGCGACTTGTTGGTGAGGCGAACCGCATCAAGCGAGGGGAGACGTGTTTGAGTCTTAAGCAGGCTTGGGCAATATATATATATATATATGTATTGAGCCAATTAGAACCTTGTGCCCCTTTTCAGCCAAAAGGACAGGCGTGAAAGCACCGGAAACACACTCCCAGGAAAAATCCCTCCAGCTAGCATGGAAATGCACAAACCCGTCTCTTGACAACTTGCTCCTTTTAGGCTGACAATCTTGGAGCTAGGGTAAAACTGCGTATTTTGGCACTCGACAACCAGCTTCTTTCGGTTCCAGTTCCGCCAAGAAGCTGAGCCCGGATTTGTGTGGGCTTCCCAACCAAGAAGAAGCAAGTGGAGCGCGGTTTCGCGGTGAGTCATGAAAGCCCCACGGGCATCGAGATTGAAAGATGAGAAGCCTGGTCACATCTTGGGGATGAAAACCCCAAACACCGCCCGCAGGTGGTAGGAACAGAATCTCTCCCTTTCTTTTGGGGAACTGGAAAAGAAACCTTTTTGGGGTTCCTTCGAGAAAGTTGGCAGGTTGCGGGAGTGCCCTCTGTCCAATCATGAAAGAGGACAAGTCGTTTTACAATGATGGCCTTCCCAAACCCTGCTATTCATTTTTATTTGAGTAAACCATTGTAATTCACCCAGCGTAAGAAATGGATCCACATGAAGGAACCTTACCTTCATCATGCATAACCTCACAACTCCCCTCCCCCCCTTCCCGGAAAGTGACGTCGTCATAATTTGGAAGTTGGGGCCGATTCTACAAGACCAAGGGTTCAAATCCCCAGTTCCCAATCCTTACCACCAAGCAAGAAGCTGATACACTGCCTCAAGAGTGGCAGTCAGTTCCCTCGAGGTGCACAACCCACATTCGCCCTTGAGCTTGGCACAGGCCAACAAGATCAACAAGTTCTATTCATGTCCAGCAAGCAACAATGGCAGATTTGTTCCAGCTGGCCTTGGATCGACAAATATTGTGTTCAACCTGGCACCATCTCGGGCTCGCTACTTAGAGGGGCATTGCAAGTGGGTAATGGCCATGCTTTTCACCCGCTTACCATGGTTCTAAGTCTCTTTACGTAAAAGACTCCGCCCTACAAGATCAACAAGTTCCCCCCCCCCCTTTTCCGCGCGCACTGCTTCGCGCCGCGTTTTCTCGGCCAGGGCGCTCAAAGAGCTCGTACTTGCGGCCGCAGAGCTTCTCGATCCTAAGGGATCGAAGACAGTCCGAATAGTCCACGGGAAACCACGTCCAAGCATCTTTGTTCTTTGTGCAATGACACCAAACATCGTTCTTTCAGGATGACACCCTTCCAAACCTCGTTCTTTCATGATGAAACCCTTCCAAACCAAACACCAACATCGTTCTTGCAGGACCACTGATTTCAGGCTAGCCTGAAAAGAACTCCGCCCAACAGAAGACTCATACCCAGGCCCAGATAACTCAGAACACCCTTGGTGGATTGCTGGTGACGGGTGGAACCCCTGGAAAAACCCCCCAACCGAACGGCAAAACCCAACGGAACCAATCGGAAGAAAGCGGATGATTCGTGGAATGGAGGTCCTTCCCTTTCAGACATAGCTTGAAATGTAAAGGGACATATAAGGACTGTCCCAAACTTTTGAAGCATGTGGATGTGCATCCCAATAGGGACTCAAATCCTTGTGAATTCTGCCAAAGAAAAAAAACTGGGGTCCCTGTTGTTCGGGAAACCCTTAGTTTGTGGTTTGGATTGGTGGTTTGGATTTGAAGTTAAACCCCCGGCTCTTGCGGGTACATGGGAAACCGCGATCGATCCAAACCACCAAATCACCGATTCGGCTCGAAACCACCAAAAACTTGGGGGGGTATCGGCGGGTGGGGGGGGGGGGCTATCCCTGGATAAGCCCAGGATACCCCCAAGAATAAGCCCTTAAGGCCTTAGGGAGAAAAAAAAGGAGAAAAAAAAAACTCCCCATGGCCCCCCAAGCGGGGGTCAATTCGCCCATCACACTTCACCCCACATCGTTCTCACGGGGCTCCCAAGCTCCAACTCAACTCAAGTCTGTTGTCTGGGCGAATCGGTCGTGCCTGAACAGCAAAATATCTCGAAGCCGGGGGCAACACAAATCTTTAGGCAAAAGGCAACAAACTACCACGCAACAGGAGAAGAAGAAAAAAACGTTTCTGAAGGGGAAGAAACCATGTTCAAAAGCTTGCTTATTAAAAAAACTGGTTCAGTACAAACAAAACACCGCCCGAAGTTTGCGGGCTACTCAAAGATTCGAGTATTGAATCCACAAAAAACACTCAAAATCCACATGAAACCCGCCCCATCGATCCTCGGGCAGGCTTTTGACTTTTCCCATCTGTTGACATTTTTCACTGGGCTGGGACTTGGTGCAGCCCCTGCAGACCCTCAAAGACTCAAGGAGCCATTTCAAGAGCTTCCCCTTCTCCTCTTGGGAAAAGCCCCGACCCACGAAGGAACCCAGCAGCTCCTGCCGTTTTTGCTCTTTTTTTTTTCCCCCCGGCTTTTCCCCGGTTTCTTTTTCCCCACCCATGGGCTTTGCCTTTCTTGGCGCGCCCCACGGATCTCGGCCGAGACCTCCCGTGGAATTCGCCGAGAAGCCAGGCAAAGGCCTCCTCCACGAAGTGGGGCACGTTGAGGTAGTACTTGTTCGCGGCCTCCACCGCCTGAAAGATCAGCGGTGCAGAAGCCAAAAAAAGCTCAGCGGTGGATGGAAAATCAACATCCACTTCGCACCAGGTAGGGGGGTTGTTCCCCATGATTTATTCATTAAAACAATTTCGGGGAACAGACCGTAGGTGAACAGATCGTAAGGCCCCCGCTAGAAATTGTAGGGTTTCATCTACCCCAAGTGCATGAGTTCGTCCCACAGTATTGAAGCCAGCTGTTGTAAAAGAGTTGGTTGAACAACTCGATTGACAGTGGGGCAAGTCAAGTTGATGTCTGGGTTGAAAATGGAGAAAAACATATGATCATTGTAAAGGTCTGCCTTTTTGGGATTCAGACACCTCCAGGGTCCTTGTTGTATTCCCTTTGGAAACCCGCAAACAGGGGGGCACCCTGAAAGAAGACAGCCCTTGTACATGGAAACATGGTTTCTAAAAAGCTCCGGACTAATCCCTGGTTGTTTAATCTTGACCCCTACCTAAATGGGATCCAAAGCTTTGATTCTGCTTCCGGAAACCAACATGAAACCATTCACTCCTTAGGGGCTGATGCGTTCGCAGTCTTCTTCGGGAAACCGCTCAAATCCCCGAGCGATGTTTGGCGAGCATGTCTAAGACGAAGTGAAATATCCCCCAAACATGGGAAGACCTCCGGGTATCCAGCCCTTTGATCTTTGTTGGCTGTCCCGTTGAGAAACCCCTATGGGAAACCAAAATGGCAGCCATCTCCTTGAGAGTCAATAGCCTCTCATTGACCCACATCCTGCTGCAAGTGAAGTAATAATAGAAGTCGCTGGGGAATGAGTTTCTCTCCACGTTGGCCCCACAAAATTGGGTAGTTGCCCTTTGGATTCCTCCCAAAGGAAGAATGCGGGCCGCTCAGCAACGGGGCTTTGATCATCCCTAGAAAGGCCAAAATCATGGGGCCCAGTTGTCCTGGTTGTCAGTTGTGTGTGTGAGGGAATGAAGCTACGAACCATTTGTTGTGGTTTCCTTCAAGGAGATCCCTCGAACCCTTCGAAGGAAGGCTGCCCTGCTGAGGACCAGCCAGCAGTCCCGCCTCGATGGTCGGCTGTTTCCGACTTGAAAATCCACTCCCAAACTCATGTTCCCCAGCACTTCCCACCCCGCAATCTGCAATGATCCAGGAGAAGAAAACAAAAATCCCGCGCGGTGAAACCCTGGATCCACCGCGCGAAAGTGCCTGGAAGTAGATGTCGTCGCACTGAGCGGTGCCCCGGGCGTGGGGGTGGTTGGGATTCAGCCCCCGCGCCCGGTGTGCGTCGATCTCCTCCGCCAGCATCTCCGCCACCTTGCCGAAGACCTCCTTGGGCAACGCCTGGCGTAGAAACACCCCGGAGGTTGCCTGTGAGGCGGATGTTGCCCTGGGAGGGTGACCATGAATACATATACATTATTTATAGATTTATGTATATGATAAATATTCATGTAGGCGTGTAGGCATGTAGCGATGTAGGCATGTAGGCATGGCATGTAGGCATGTAGGCATGTAGTCATCTAGTCATGTATGCATGTATGTATGTGTGCATGCATGCATGTATGTATGTATGCCCATCTGTGTATAAGAGATGGATCAAACTTGGCTCGATTGACATTCTGCTATTTTCAGGTTGAGTTTGTGCACGCCCAACAGGGTGTGCTTGGCCTGAATTGAGTCTTTGACCTACCCCAAGAAAGCCACTATTTGATTGTCAAAGTCAGTCCCTTGTGAAAAGTAAGGGAAAGGGCAGCGCACATCTGGTGTCGAAAGCGACCGAAAACTGAAGCAACAAAAAAACAGGACAGCAAAGCAGGAAAGGCATTGAACATCAAACCTGCCGCAAATAAGCATCGAGAAGCCCAGCTTGTCAAGAAGGGGCGACTAGACTTCTTTCCATAAGTGTCGATATACATATATATATATATATGGTTGGCTAAGGCCAGGCGACTGTACAATGTTACAGGACATATATGGAGGATTCGTCAAAACACCACATGCCCATGTGAAAAACCCCTGCTTGTGGGCTGCTGCAACTAGGAACCTTTCTTGGGGACATATTTCTCGGGGACCAAAATCAAGGAAGCTAAAACAACACATAGCTCGCAAACCAAATGATCAGATGGATCTTCTGTAGATCTCGAAGTTTGCACCAGAACCCTGACGAGGCAGACTCAGTAAGCACCAAACAGGGGGCGAAATAGAACACGGCAAGGAAAAAACGAAACAAATCCCAAAACAGCAAAAGCGGAGAAAGCTCTGTTCGAACACCGAAAGCAAGGGCGATTCCTCTTGAAAGCCAAAAAGATCAGCCACAAAGAGTCGGAAACTGCAATTTGTGTATTACACCCTGGGACTACACCCTTGGGAAATGGTTCAAAATGGTCAAAACAACATAGTTTTAGCCCGGAAATATGCTTAAATGGGGGCCATTTCCCAGTGGGCGAAGATTCAGGGCGCAATACAAGAACCCTTAGAAATTGTCTTCCAGGCATCTTCCACGAATCAAAGCAAAGGGTAGCAATGGGTTTCCGCGGCTGAGTGATCGAGGAATCATGGAACAAAAAGGCCCCAGGAGCACCTTGTTTGTTCCGAGCCCAAGAATCGCGGATACCAAAAGAAACGCCAACAACACAACAACCTACGCGTTTAAATGGAAACCCACACTAAACCCTACAAAGCTAAAAACCTAACAACAAACCTAATGGAAAAACATCGACAGAACAACTTCGAACGCAGATCGACTCCCAAAACACAACCCTTGCAGATCAAAAGCGAGGTTTTGGTTCGTGTGCCCAGGGTTCCGGTGTTTGATTCCAGGGTACCCTCAGGAAACCTTGACGAGGAAAGGAGGCATTCTCCAGATTTCCCAGGTGTTGAACAAACACCCAGAAAGCGGGTATTTGGGGGGGTTTTGATCAATACTCCCAGTCCCCAAATGACCATGGGTAACTTCCCCCATTTAGTGGGGCATATCATCCTTTTCGTGGTTTTCCAACCAATGATCATCCCATGTAAAGGGCATTTTAACCAACCCCCATTCAGAAACCAAACCTGTGTCTTTGGAAAAAAATCAACTCGCTCTTGCAACGAGTGTCGCCGTTGTTTGCCAGGCGGGCGGAAAGCCCTCAGGATCCCCACTTTTCGAAGCGTCTCTAGTTCTTGCAGGGTGCCCCTGCGGAAGCTCAGAATGAAAAAATGGACCTGGAGATTCCCCAGGAAGCCATTGGATGCTTGACATCAGGCTCCCCGCAGGTGCGAATTTGTTGGAGTCCCGAAAACCACCTGACAACCCAGAGAGATGTGGGCCATTCTTGTAAAGGAAGTCGCAAGGACGCCTTCATCAGGTTCCATGGCAATGGGGTAATTTCAGGTTCCGCGGAAAAGCGGATGTTTTCTCGCCCCAAAGTTTAAAACTGAAAACCGAGCGGCTCCCTCTTGCGAAGCACCGCTTGGGTTTATTTTCCTTCGCCTCAAAGCTTGGGGTCTGGGGAGCGAGCTTTGAGGCTGCGGCTTCGGTCCTGGATCTTCTGGATCTCGTGGCTGGTGCGGAAGCCGTCGAAGGCGTGCACGAAGGGCACCCGGCTCCGCAGGGTGGCGATGTGCGAGGCCAGGGCGAAGTCTAGGGACCTCGCGGCGCACGGTCCCGGAGCGGCCTTCCGCCCGCTGAGACGGAAGCCCAGAGGCTCGAAACCACGAGGGAAACCGAAACCAAGAGGCAAACCAAGAGGGGAACCAAGGGAAACCAAGAGGGAAACCGAAAACCAGAGGTTGTTCTGTGTGTTAACGGGAAACGAGCCATTTTTCTGGGGGGGGGATCCAGATCCCCAAAGCTTCAGAGGAGCTAAGTCGTGTCAATGACTAAGGAGCGATCGGGTAGGTCAGGCAAGTGGTTGTAATAACCGTGGGATAAGCGTCTAGCCACTACCCACTTGCTAAGTACCCGAATGCCCCTTCAAGTACCCTCAGGCTCATGATTCCCCCTTCACATGCCCTATAAGAGGGCCTATGAAGACCCTGGACCCAGAAACTCTTGAAAACAACAGCTATTTTGAGGGCCCGACAATCATCGGGACCCTTAGGGTAGAAAATAGGCCCGGGTGGTATTGCCAAACAGCCCGAAAATCTGCTGGAACCAACCGGAAACAGCCCCGAACCACCCCGGACCCCATCCCAACAACCTGGGAAAACCCTTGGATGCGTTCTTGTAGGAAACCCGCTCTAGAGCAAAACAGACGCAACAAAAACGCGTGACAAAAAAGGAGAAGAAAAAAAAGAAAAACAAACATTCGGGTGCCTCGTTCTTGTTGAGGGTGCCCCTTTTTTTTGCGAGTAAAACTAAACCCAAGGGAAGGACTTTCCAACGACTCACAGTCCGCGGCACTGCTGCACGGAGCTCCCGAACAAGATCGCGAAGCCCGTGGACCGAACGGCCTCTCTGAGGCGGCCGAGGCGGCCGAGGCGGCTGAGATACCCATGGGCGGCCCCGGGCTCGGGTGTCTCTTTGATCAAGTTCCCCTTTTGGATGGTTTGGATTGGTTGAGATTTGGAGCTCAATGGTTCTTGTGGGTCAATGAGGTTTCCCACCCCTAACCAATAAACCACCGGACTCCACCGAACAGCATCCAAACCAAAGAGGGGGAAGCTGATTGAAAGCAAATCAATCCATGTTCCCCTCGGAATCTCGTTTTGGGACTCTTTTCTTTGTGGTTCCGTATTGCCTTGTGGAGTTGATAGCCTCTGGAATTTTGCACGGTTCTAAAGGAAGCCAAGATAATAAAAATAATAATAATAATAATAATTAAAAAAAAAAAGCGAAGCCATTGTGGGGAGGGCTCGCTAGATGACATACCCCTTTGAATGTTTCTGAAAATAATTAAAGGATCCCCTGGTCCTTTTCAAAAAACAAAAGGGAGTACCGCTGGAGTCAGTCTTACATATGGTTTCGGTAGGCCGCCTGTCCAAAGTGAGCGTGGGGTAGAAATGCGCCAAAACGGGCAGCGTGACAAAAAAAACATGTATCCTCTATTGCATCCCCAGAAAGGGTACCCGAATTGATATGTGTATATATATATATACATTAATACATAGGGGGTACCATTTTTAGCTGGGTTTGAAACGGAAGGCGCAGGGCAAATCTCCATTTGTATGCCCCCTATGTTGAGACACACCAATAATAAATCAGTGTCCAAAGAGAAACCGACAAACAGACGGACCCCTCCCCCTCCCCCTCCCTCTCCCCCCTCCCCCCCTCCCCCCTCCCCCAACTCCCTCCCCCCTGCCCCCTGCGCATTCGGCTCGTTCACCGAACCATCCGCCTGGATGTCGTTCTGGTCCCCGAAGATGCTGAGAGCCTGACCCGCCACCGCGCGGGCCGCCACGTGCATCACGCAGGGGATGAGCTCCCCGGCGATCTTGTACCTTGAGCCGCGGAGATGCTGTCTCAGATGCCCAGCCATTGGACAAAAAGGCATCCTTTCTTTGGTTGGTTGACTGTAAAGGGGAACCCTTCCCAACAAAAAGGAAAACAGGGCACCACTGGGCAACTGGGCCGTGGACAGAATCCGTTCGCACCCCCTCGAAACCATGGGTGAAACCAGATTTTTACTTGGGTAGGGGAGTCATCGGAGACCAGGGTTTCTGAACGCTGCGAAACGGAGTTCGTCCAAGAGAAAAGTTGCGGCCCAGGGCTACCAAGCCCAATCTGATTCAAGAGAGCTTGCCCTGCAGCTGTTATTTTTTTTTACTTTTTTCTTATTCACGGGAGGTGGGAGCTAAGCCGATCAGCAACTCTGCCCGACCAGGGATACGCAACAATATGGGTATGATTTTTAATTGGGGACCCTTTGGTGGACATCAAGATTTGGTGGGGGCGTATGTCCACCAATCACTTTTCAGGAGGTTCCGCATTAAAATTCATTGCCACATAACTCACCAACCGGAAGTATGGTTTCCCCGGCACAGGAACCTTCAGATCTTTGTTCTCGTGGTATTTTCAGGCGAGCTCAATTTTGGTTGGTCAGACTGTTTGGAAAGCAAAAGAATGACTTCACAGAGGTTCCCGATTTGGATCCAGATCCCAACATTGGAGCCCTGAATTCCTGCATCGCGAACGAGGCGTTTCTAAAGGGTAAACACAGCATGGGGTAGCCGTTCTAGACCCATTTTCCCATGGGTAGTGGCTTCCGAGTGCAACCATCAAAAAGAGCCTTGCGGATTCAAATACCGAAAAGATCCCTGGCGTGTCCATTTGTTACCATGAGAAAGAATCCGACCGCCTTTGTTCACCGACTTTGTTCAACGGGCCAAAGCTTTGGTCACATCAGCTTCCCTCTAATTAGTGGCTTGGATTGGTGGTTTAGGGGTTAAGAAGTGGTTTCCTACCCTCTACAAGAACGGGGGGCTCAAATCAACCGCCAATCCAGACCCCTGTGGCCTTCCGATCGGAGAGTTTGGAGGGAGGCTGCCTAAGACTTTTGGGGTCCCGAGACCGGGGCCGCTGCCTGTTGCCTTCGACGGAGTCAAAAGGGAGAAAACCCAAATCCATGTCTGGTCTCGGTCGGTCCCCGGTCCCATTATGACGCCCTCGCTTGCGGGCAACTCGCCTTAATTCACCATGAGCTTGTTGAGTATGGTTGGTTTACTTGCAATACTTCGGGCATCCAGGAACCACCCCCCCCGGCCCAAGAAAGAAGAAGAAGAGAATCTTGGAGTTCCACTTAATTATTCCTTCCCACCCAAAACAAAAAAGAAAACACATGTGTGTGTGTGTGTGTGTGTGTGTTGACTTAATCCTTCTAAACCCCCCCCCCCTCACACACACACACACAAAACAAACACAAACACACAGAGGTGGTTCAGCTAATCTCCCCCCCACCACCAAAAAACAAGGAACGGAGAAACAAAAAAGTGTCCAAAACACACTTCGGCCGGGAAACTCCGAATCTAGGCCCCTCCCCAGCCCCTTCCTTTTTCCGCGCATTTCGGCCCGGCCCGCCGACCGGACCGGGGCGCATGTTGGGCACCATGAGCAGCAGGCCCTGGGAGGCTGTGAAGGTGGTGGCCAGGCCTCCCACCGACAAGGCCCCGTGCATAGACCCCGCCGCGCCGGCTTCCGACTGCAGCTGGGTGATCTTGGTGACCTCCGGCTCCGGGCGGGGCGGGCGGGCGACCGGGCGGCCGGGTGGCCTGTGGCCGAAGGCTTTTCCCAAAAGAAAAAGCGGTGGGAAACCTGAGGTTTTTTTTTGCAGGCTGGGGCGGACAAAACGAGTTTCCGGGCGGGCCTCCCGAAAGGGACGGGGTTGAATCTGGGACTTTGGCAGGAACCAAAACAGAAGGAAAATGGGGACTTCTTCTTGGCGCTGCAGTAAGGGGGGGTTGCACCTGGGAACCTGGGCACCAAAACAAAAGGAAAATGGGACAGGGTGACAACCACTTAAACTGACGTCCCAAGTGGGGGTGGCCAGAAAGACTCATCAAACGTGTTGTTGCGACTAAAATCCCACTCGAGGGGACCTACGTTTTAGGGACGCCCCCTTGGACCACCCCCTCTTAGGGATTCTCCAAGAATGGGTTGAACAAATCACGGGGGAACACGGATGTGCAAAAAAGGAACCAAAAAAGAAGAAGGGAAAGTGGAAAGGGTCAAAACTCAAAAACAAGTCTGGGTCAACATGCTTAAATGGTCTCTCGACCGAGCATTCCACCAGGGACGTGCAAAAAGATCCCAAAAAAAAAGGAGAAGTCGAGGTCCAAAACAAGCACAAGCTTGCAAGGAATCCAAGAACAATATCGTCAAAGAACATGTTAACATGGTCTCACATGGAGACCGCGCGCTGCGCGCGGAAAACTTGCGAGCGCCGTGCGCGGAAAAATTTCCACGCCGCACACGGAAAATAACGCTTGCAGAAGGCTTACAGAAGGTGCACACAAGGCTCACACAAGGCTCACACAAGGCTTACAGAAGGCTTACAGAAGGGTTACAAATGGCAAACAGAAGGCTTACAGAAGGCGTAGAGAAGGCTTACAGGAGGCTTACTACTACTGCTGCTGCTGCTGCTGCTGCTGCTGCTGCTGCTGCTGCTGCTGCTGCTGCTACTGCTACTGCTGCTGCTGCTGCTGCTACTGCTACTGCTACTGCTACTGCTACTGCTACTGCTCACAGAAGGCTTACAGAAGGCGTCAAGAAGGCTTCCAGCTCGAAAGGCGGATCCCCAGCCAATCCCTCCTGAAAAGGGGCCTTCTGTGAGCCTTCTGTGAGCAGCAGTAGCAGTAGCAGTAGCAGTAGCAGTAGCAGCAGCAGCAGCAGCAGTAGCAGTAGCAGTAGCAGTAGCAGTAGCAGTAGCAGTAGCAGCAGCAGCAGCAGCAGCAGCAGCAGTAGTAGTAGTAGTAATAGTAGTAAGCAAGCCTTCTGTAAGCCTTCTGTAAGGGTTATTTTTCCGCGAAGAATGACCAGTTTTCCGTTCTTAGTGACCACTTTTCCGCTCTTAGCGGCTATTTTCCGCAAACGGTAAGAAGCCTTTGTTAGCATGTTTTGTTGGAGGAAACAAAATGAACCATCAGACACCATCCATGACACCCTCAAAAAGATGATTAATGTGCACATACAGCATGTCTTGCAGGGGAATGCAACCATGTTCCGTATCTCCCCCCCCAACAAAACCTCACGCCACATCCCAGCCGACCGCCTGCTCGAAAGCGTTCTGAACGCCGCCGGCGGACCAGGTATCACACATCTCTGAGAGGAGGGTGGAGGGGGTGATGGGGAAGATGAACCTCAGAGCCGAGCAGGCCTGAAAGAACCTCTGGCTTTGGGTTCGATGCAGATGCTCAGAGCCGGAGGATTGATGGTGTGCCTTTCGGGTGTCAATCCACCAACTTGACTCACCATGGCAACGCCACCAACCAAGCCAAAGCCCCGAAAATGTAGAAGAGACAAAAAAGAAGAATGGCAAGAAGGTTACAGTACCCGTCTGGCAATCAAAGATGGTCTATTTGGAATCCTCGAAAAGTGAGTCTTAGAAAGTCCCTGCATCCTGGTTAAACCATATATCTCCATGACCCTGCAAAACGGGGCATTGCTCATTGCCCGACATTTTCTGGGCACATGTCTCTTTCTCTTTGGGTCAGAAGACACTTGAACCGCCAGGTCGCGGCCCTCGCCCAGTGCTTTTTTTCTCTTCCGCCCAAGGGGCGCGTTGTCGGACATCTGATAGGCCACCCACGCCGTGGCCGTGGCCCCGTCGTCGGGGCCCCACTTGCCCTCCCCGCACTCTTTGCGCGCCGCCTCCAAGGCAGCAGCGGTGCGAGGGTCCAGCACGAACTTCGCGGGCGCCTCCACGCGGGAGCCTTGCGCCTGAACCGGAAACCAAGGCGCCAAAAAGCAAACCGAAGCCGCTGGACCCAGTGCGCCTCCGGACGAAGAAGGGGCAAAAAAAAGGCAAACCGCAAGCCGAAGAGACCCAGGCTAAGGTTTCCGGGGTCTAGGAACCCGATTTCTCGAAGGCCCGAAGGCCGTAAAGAGGTGGATTCCCTGGAATAGGTCATCTTAACTTGCTGGTGCGACAGGCAGGGAATGAGAATTGGAATGACCCTGAACTAAACCATCCAACTGGTGGCTTCCGCTAAGGGGACCAATTCGTGGGCTCATTCCAACTCATTCCCTACCTATCGCACCAGCAAAATAAGTTTCTGTTCTTTGGCCTTCTTCTGGATAGCGAGTGCCAGCGCTGCGCCCGCCGCGGCCGACAGGCCAAGGGCGGCGGCTTTTGACACGTCGGCGGTCGACATCTCGCGGGAACGATCTGAAGCAATGGGAACTTAGAGCTGAGGATTACTTTTTGAGCCAAAACGGCCCTGTTGCCAGGAGCTGGGTATGTCAAAACTAGTTTAGATCCCCTAAAAGGTCGGCATGGTGCTTTCCCGATGGCTAATGGTCCAACTCGTTTTGACACAGCCAGTTGACGGGCGCGAAAAGAATGATGGCAAAACGGCCCTGGCAATGGCGGTGTACCCTTGAGGGTGCACCCAGGAGTCAAAAAAAATGACTCGAGTCAGCTTTCCTCTAATTCGTGGTTTGGATTGGTGGTTTGGTTGTTAGGGGTGGTTTCCCATTCACCCTCTTACAAGAACCAGAGGTTCCAGTCCCCACCAATCCTTACCACCAGGTGACAAAAAGCTGATGTATTGCCTCCACAGTGGCGGTCAGCTCCCTTGGATATGAGGTTCACAACAACCCCTCCTTCACCCTTGAGTTTGCCACGGGCAAAGAAGATCACAAGTTGCCCGTGCTGAACGTGTCCAGCAAGCAAGAACGGCAGACTCATTCATTCCAGCTGGACCCACTCGCGGATTCAGACCAGCCGCTAAACGCGTGTCAACGTCCACGCCGGCATCGGGGAACAGAAGCAAGCGAGTCGCCTGTTGCCATCACTCCAAACCAAGGTCTCAACTAAGGAAATGCCAGATCCGCTCGATTCGCGAGCAGCTGCAATGGTGAACATAGGTGTCCTTCTTGAGAAAATAGGTGGCCCTGGTAGTTGAAACCAGGAATCGCCCTCTGTTTTTCTGCCAAAACAACGAAAAAGGACAGCTATGTTCATCCGTGGTTTCCGAGCAAACTGCTCGTGAAGGTTGACGTGGCCTTCACCTCCTCCCGAAAAAAACCGTCGAGCGGAGCTAAGCGAGTTCGTGAGAGTGGCCCAGTGACCCCTACGATGAAAACAGGGACCTTCATTCATGTTCCACAAGGGTTTCACAGCAAGTTAGGCCACGGAGGTTCTCCAAATTGTTCCCACAAGCTTGCTGCGGTTCCAAAAGCCAGCAACCTGTTGTTCCTGCAAACCGTGTTTCACTGTCTGCGGTTCAAATTTGGAAAACCAGCTTGATTTCAGCCAAGAAGTTGAAGTCAGGTCCAAGCCAATAGCGACTAAGCTCCTTCAAGCAAGGCGACGCCACAGCGCCCGGCGGACCTGGGCCTTGCAATGTTCGGCCGGGGCCCGGAGGGAGCCCTCCTCTTGCCTCGGAGCGCCAAGTCGACGCCGAAAGCAAAGCGGCGATGTCGGTCGGTCTTGTTTGACATTTCCCATTTTTGGGGCGGCTTTAAGGGGAACAAAAGGAAGACCGCTGCTTTTTTTTTAATTTTGAGACCAATCCTGCGCGATTCACCGCTGCAGTTGTTTAGTGGGTCCGCAGCAACAAAGAAAGCAAGGCTCGCCAGCTTTGTTCCAAGAAGCCTTGAATTACACCCTTGATACTCGGGAGAACCAATTGGGGATTCCGTTTTACTTTACGTCTGCAAATGTCGAAATTCTAGAATCTCCGCAAAAAGCTGCAAAATGACCCTAGGATTGATCTCTATCTGCGGCAGTGTAGCCTGTGAATGGGCTTGACAAGACTTCCTTTCGAAAAACCTAACAAGAAGCTTGCTCGTTAACTAGTCAGCCAGCTGGGACTCACGAGAGTTCTGCGACTGGTGTACTTGCAACGTTTGGGGAGTCCGTACGTTCGCCGGTTTGGTCCGGCTTGGGTTTGAGAAAAACTGCCTGAGGGTTCCAGTTGGGCAAAACGGACAGCTAGCTGCTCAATTGTTCATGATCGGACATGAGCTTTGTGCACTCGGGGATATGTGATCTTGCTAAACATGAAGCTTCTAGGAAACTGTTTGGATGCGGTTTTTGTGGATCTTCGCCCGTGGAATATTAAAAGAGTACTAAAAGAGTACTAAAAAAGGACTAACAGGGGGAAGAACAGGCAAAATCCACAAAAAGCGCCTCCAAACCGTTTTCCAGAGCCATGCCATTTGCACGACTCACAGAAAATTATGCATGGACTGTGACCCTTTCGTGCGTCTCATGTCCGGATCTGATCACCGGTGATCAGGTCCAAGGGTGGTCTATCTTTTTTGAATGTGCACCACAACACATGCGTGTATAAACATATATATATATATACATATATATATATATGTACATTCATTTTTTATTTTATTTTGAAAAAACAGGAGGGGGAAAAAAGAAAAGAAAAACCATACCACCACATGTGTCCACCTCTTAGCAGTCCTCCAGCAGCATTGAATGCTCAGCTTATTTAGGAATCACTGAAGTCTTGGACCGGGATTCTATATCACCACGCCTGTGAGTTGCAGACAACCGAACCTGCTAACCAAGAAGATAAGTGCAAGTCACCGGAACGATTCAACCGCCACCAGCCATCCGCCCGGCCCGGAAGGATCCAGCCGAACGCACGCCTTTTCCGAACGCTGCTAGGGTTTTTGTGGCTCCACGGCCTCACTCAAATTCGTTGCATTCGAAGTCGCCAGCAGGTCCTCCGGTGCAAACCCACCCATGTG